CTGTCTACATTAGTGGAGCTGAGGAGGAGCAGGTGAACAGTTTTAGGTCCCTGGTAATAAAAATCACAGAGAACCTGTCAGGGTCATGTCATATCTCCACACTGGTTAAGACAGCTCAGAAACAGCTGTATTTAATTAGGAAACTAAAGAAAACTAATTTGCAGTGCCATGTTCTTGTTAACTTTTAGCAGGAGAGGAGCAATGGAAAGCATCCTGACAAGAAAGAAACATCACAAACTGGCATGGGATGTGCATGGCCCAGGACAGGAGTACTCTGCAGTGGGTGAGTAAAATGGCAAAAAAACATTCTGATTTAGATGCATTTCCCACCTGAGACCATATCTGGGGGGAAACACTGAACATGCCAATTCTGGAAGCACATTTAACAATGGACACCGTCAAAAGGTTTCCACCTACTGACAGTTTTAACCCAGAAGCATCAGTATCATCCTTCAAAACAGAGGTTTGGGTGTGCTACTCATCAAACTCAAAACAGCAGTGATGTTGGGCGGCTCACATCGTGGAGGACTGCCAACTTAATAGAAGCCAGTAGACCACAGTGGACCTTCAGCATTAATAGAGGAATGATGTACCTGCAGTGCTTTGACCAGCGCTCCATTTCTGCCCGCTTCTCCCACCAGAACAACCCTCGTCTCCACTTTTGGCAGCATATCTGAGAGAGATGAAGAGCAACAGAGAGACAGAGTGAACAAGGGGGAAAGGGGATGAGACACACACACACACACACACACACACAAAGAAGACGCTGGGAAGAGAGATCAAGGAGCAGGTCGTTTCTAGGAGGTGATGCAAGTTTTTCCTCATTTTGACTGACAGCCTGGGGGTTACAGCCAGACAATACACCTATATCACTGATTAAGAGGGCAGAGAAAAAAGGTAAAAAGTATGTTCCCTTTGGTGGAACATAAGAGCTCATTTCCATTCCCACAAAAAAACATGATATGGGTCCTCTTTGTGTTAAAAAAAGCATGTTAGCTATTGCTACCAGCCTATTAAAAGAGCTTTAAGCTTTACAAATAAACTCTCATTATATCATACTGCCTACACAGAGAGCAAATCATTTTAGACTCAATATAGTTAGCATTATGAGAGGAAAGTGAAAATATAAAATACCCCTAAAATGAACTCTGTTGCCAGTTTATTAGCAGGGTTTAATCCAGAGCTCCAGACCTCCCTGCAGCCTTGTCTCCCTTCAAGTGAAAAATCAATGATGTTTGCAGGCTTTCATCATTAGAGCTGTACTCAACTGACGTTAAAGGACTCGTCACAAATTTCACAGCAAATCTCTTTATTGCAATGGAACCGAGGCGATTAGCGGGGTCACTTGCAGGGGCAGAAGAAATCCACACAAATTTTGCACGCAAAGTTTGACTTTATAGCTTCGACCTTGCGCCGAGCTGTGATAACAATGCTGAGCCTCGGAGAGTGTTTATCCTGTTAGAGCACGAACTGCAATGCTAGGGCTGCAGCTAACTCAGTATTTTCATTATCGAAGGTTCTGTCGATCATCCTGTTGCTTAATCGATTTGTTGTTTGGTCCAGAAAAAGTCTGAAAATGCGGAAAATGTTGAACACGTTTCTAACTATCTCGCTAGCTACAGCAGTTCATTTACTAGTTGAGCAAGCATTTACTGTATCACCCCATTTCTACAATCAAATACTAATACGCGTATTAATTTCACTGTGCACTAAGGATGTCACAAGAACCGATACTTCAGTACCAAAGTTCTGAAAAGGTGTCTGTACTCGTTTTTCATACAGTGCCTTAGGTAGCAGCCTACAACTACGACAGTCTGCTGGTAAATGCCATAGGAAGAAGAACACCTACCATCGCGGAAGAAAAACTAAATGCATTTTTATTATTTCAATTATCAGGATAATTCAATTACAGCGGATACATTTTAATTAATAATAATTTATTTGGATCATGTTCTACAAAAGTATGTTTGTGAAGTTAAAAAAAAGAATTGAACATTTGAACAGTCGTAACTGTTGTTGTTATTAACAATAGTGAGGTCAGATTTGGTTAGAACGGAGCTATGGAATATTACATTAGTTGATGGTTTGGTTTGCCAAAGAGGAAATGAGGAAGGAGGAATTTCACTGGTATTGGTATGGACTCCAAAATTTCTGGTATTTTGACATATCAACTGTGCATTATTATTAGCAGAATTACGAAAAAGGATGAGCAGAATGACCACTCAAATCTCATTTTTATACAAAGACAGTGAGTAGATGTGTAGAAGTGTCTTTTATCCATTCTGTGACACAATCTAACATCAGACGGATAGTTAAGCTCATACTCAGTAATGAGACAAAGTGAAAGTTACCTGGACGTAAGCCCAGTTATATAAGTACATGGGTAGCCCAATGCCACTGGATATTACCGTGGTAATGAAAGGGGAATGTGGTTAAAGCCCAAACAGGCTGATCACAAAGTGAGTCATTCTAAAAATCCCAACAACGCACTTCTCGTCACTAAATGGGTGCTAATTGGTATGACGTTCTAGATTAAGATAAACTTTTAAGGCATTTTAAATTTTCAACTAAAATTCTAAGAGCTGATTTAATATTTTCCCGAGGCACAGTTAAGCCCCAGTGAATCAAAGGGGCGTGCTTTACTGCAGTGGCATTCTTTCGGGATGTCAAAATAAGCCACAAACGAGTTGCAGGCACAGTAACTTCAGTCTGACGTGAATGACAGAAAAAAACCTCACCTTAAAAACCCCTTACTTAAAATGTGCTCAAGTGCCTAATGCAGCTCTATCAGGGTGCAGGGACACAGCACACACACCCAATTTTGCCATCTTTCATAACATGCTGGTAGTTAGAAATCCAATGTATTCATAAAACATTACAACTCAAAAGCACCGCAAACTACAGCCAACAACCAATATGACTAAGAAGTTGAAAACTATTTCAAGGCTGGGCTGGCAGGGCTGTAGACTACATTCATTTTGGCTTAATGTATGGGTACCTAACAAACTGGAAAACTGAGTGTAGCTCTCAACAGGAATGTCAAGAATGACTTTACAGTGCCAATTACTTTGCAGGTTTTACTACGCTGTTCCTCCGCAGCCTTTTGGAATCTGGAGCAGTGCTGTGTGGCTTTCTGTTACATGCACACATACACTAACTCTCAAAGGTTTGGGGTCACCTGTTATATTGACCATTTACTCTTTCCTGCAATAACGGCTTTTTCAGCATAGATAAACAGAATAAATCAGGCACCAAACTAATTATTTACATTTTAAATAGTTGATGACAAAGTGTCTCAGGTTTATTACAGGTAGGTGGTCAGCGTTTTATGTGGGACAGGTTTCGCTCGCTCACTCGCTCATGTAGAACTCATCAAGTAGAATTTATCTTGTTTCGCAGAATATTCAGGGATGTGACAAATACAGTTAAAATTCTATCCATAAAAATAAATATATATATATATATATATATATAAATCTAATTTTTTCATTAAAACAAGGATGGTGACTTCAAACAGGTATCTTTCATGGTATCAAATCATTTTCTAGGAGTTTTTCATCATATGATTTACCGGCAGGTCTAGTGCTGACACATTTAACTCCAGTTTTATTGCTCCTTGTTTAATGATGCAGGTTCACGATGAAGTGTCTCAGGTTAATTACAGCCGGGAGGTCAGTGTTTGTGAGACAATCAACGTTAGCTCGCTTTCGTGGCACGCTTGGCCCCAGCTGATTTTTCCTCTAACATAGTTAGAGACGTTTTTTCTGCCCTTTCAATCGTCAGTCTGGCTGAACCATTGTACAGCTTTTTGTCCTCCGTGTACAAAATATCATCTCTTTGTAAAGAGGACTTACTGCAACTTAAAAACATCAAAGCCCATTCAGAAATATAAAGTAGTCCTCTCTGCCATTGGACTGTACTGATTCAAGCCTTTGTGGCAGGTGACCCCAAACCTTTGAGCAGATGCACATAGTAGATCCAGATGTTTACACACTATTGGGTACACTGAGAAAAGGTTACACATGGTGGAGCTGCAGTTTTGTTGTTTAAAACACCAGCAGCAGTTTGTTTTGTCTTTTTCAATGTCTTCAGAGGAGGAGTGGGAGATAAAATTGTGACCCCTTGCAGACTGACCTTCCCCATCTTCACATGCCATGCCCAGAAATACATGGTCCTTCGTGGTTTCGGCGATCCTTGAATCATAGACCGAAGAATCCACCAGCAGACTTCGAGCCGTCCCTAAAGTCACTATGCTGCTGTCAGCCATGGCAGGAACTTAAGGAGGCACCAAACTGTCCAAACTATCAAAAGTTACAGGGAACAAACAGAGAGACACAGAGAGAGACACAGAGAGAGACACAGAGAGAGAACACAGAAAGGAGGGAGAAAGCATAGCGAGGAGGAAGAAGAGGAGGAGGAGATGGGTGAAAACTGTCAAAATAAAGGCAAGAGACACAACTTCAAACACAAATACTGCCCAAGTCTGACCAACTGAGCAACATATTTGTGAACTGTGATAACTTTGGTAAAACTAGGCAAGGTGCATAGAAAGTTTAGTGAAACTTTTAAATATTTGGTTGTTAACAAAAGAAACCAACTTAAAGAAACAAAAACAACCTAACATATAAGTTACATTAAAGTAACTTAAAGGGGTTTCAATTAAGATATAACACAAGTCATTTAGAGAGCCCTAAGGCACTTATAGGTATATTAGGATACACCTTATATAAACAGTCACTGAGATCCACCCAGCGCTAGCCCGGTCAACGTTAACGTTAGCTGCTTCCACCAAATTCCCTCCGCTAAGCGCTTACGGCTGGGTTTCAAACAGCCCCATGAAAATAAACTCAACGTAAACCAAACTTACCGACTGTTTCGGTGACTGCTACCTTAGAGAAAAATAAAAATAAAATAAATAGGAGCTAAACTGGCTGAACCAGTTCAATTCAATAAGCTATCGAGCTAACTTAGCTAACGTTAGCTACTGAGCTAGTAAGTCAACAATACAACTCCTGGTAATTCTTCTTCGGTCCAAAACAACTGTTCAAAAAATCTGTAACATCTCTCCGTTAAATCTCAAGTCTGTTATCTATGCATGTTGCCCTTTAAGTGAGGAAATAGTTGTCGAAATGCAGCTGCTTTAGTTTGTTGACAGCTAATTACTTCATGGTAGTGCAGAGAAGTTGTCAGCCTGCTGTTAGAGCTCAATTCAAAAAGCAAGGCAAACAACGGGGCCGCGCGCTGATTGGGCAAGAGTGACGCAAAGCCAGCGGTTTCCGTCCGGCGCGGCCGCTGATTGGTCCGTTCATTCAAATCACGATGCGCACTGCGATTGCTTCCCAGACTTGCGACGTTCAGGTACCGTCGGAAATATTTCATTACGTTCCGAGACGAAAAAATAACGTGGATAATTAATTGATATTATAGCCTATTGAAAGTTTATTACTATAAACTAACTAATACTACTTGTACCAACATAATTAAACAATGTGACCATGTCAATGAAAATATACAACTTAAACATTTACAAATAATAATTTTTTTAGCTTCCTGTGTGTTTATACATTATAATGTGATGTCAATTATTCTGTTCAAAATGTATATAAATAGGCCTTTAGACCTACCCTAAACCATAGCAAAAAAATGAAAAGAACAGAATTTACAAAATAATGCTGCTCTTGTAAATGAGCAGAAAACTGTGCTATTTATTAAACAAAACAATAAAAGCAACATTTACAAAAAATTCTGTTTATCTCGAACAAAAACATCTGACCTAAATAGTTTGGCAAGCAGCATTTAGAAATATTGAAGTCAGATATGTGGTTTACGAGGAGTACCTGAAGGTAACAAAAAATCCTGTAAAAAAAATTTAAATGTTAAACCCATAGACTGTATAATAGTTCAACTACAGACGTTTGGCAACTTTTTTTTCACACTCAGGGGAAGTTGTTTGCAGAAAGTAAACATTACATATTACAGGTCAAGTAGGTTACACTGGGTATGGTTGTAACACTTTGTGCCTCAGCACCTGTAACTCTTTCTAGAGTTCTCAAACCACATTTGTTTACTACAAATGGCATCAATTCAAACATCTGCTCCAATATCACATTCCTTGTGAGTTGATGTCAACTACCTTGTGTTCCTTTGTTACAACCTACCCCACTACAGTAAATTGTAACAATTAGACAAAAGAAGGGAGGCCACACTGTGTATACTCAAAAATAAGTTTATTAAAATAAAAGAACTTATGTCGAATGAAAGAAAAGGGAATAGAAAACCTGTGTACATCAGCAAAATTTGTTCAATTTGTCTGTCAGCTACACTTACCTGTCATATGCTCATGTGGAGTTTGTCCATAACTCAGGCCTGCTGCCTGAGAATAGTCACCTCAGAAGAAGCCCCTTTGTTGTGGGGATTAAGTGGGTAAACACTGAAGTGATCACATGACTCCTATCTTATACCTGATTGATGGAATTGGTGCTGTTACAACTCCCCCAATATTACAACCCTACCGTCTCCCTTATATAAAAAAAGAAAAAAAGATTTAAAACAAAATGACAAGGTGGTTGAACAAATTCACAGCATATATCCATGCCCTGGAATAAACACTGGGCTCAGGTTACAGACACAACACCCATGCAGCTAAATCTTGGCAACTATGAATATGTAATATGAATATGTAAAACATATTGTTATTGTTTATTGTTAGCAAAAAGGCTGATTTCAGAAGCAAATCATAATCACATTCTAGGCTTTTGCATTGATTTCATATTTAGACGTGATGCTACTGTCTGTGTGTATGTATATAAAATTCCCATGGGGATTTGCGGGGTCAGTACATTATAATGCCTAAAATAATAATAATTCCTAAAATAACAGGATTTTATATATGCGTATTGATTTTTTACAATGATTATTGACACACACTTCACTTTCTTACATGTTTCATGTATGCAGGTGTCTGCAACCCTTCTCAGAAGTGGCTGTATCTGTACACTAATCCCGTCAAAAATAAGATATGTGTGGGATGCTTGGTTTCACCTCTCAGACTAAAGGGGAAGTGAAGAGCACATTTCCACAGGGGTTTTGTATGAAAGAGAATGATTTCTGAAAGGCCCAGAGCTCTGCCAACTGGCTGTTGTTTCCCCAACACAGCGACACAAAAGGCAGACAACAACCTGTCTGCTTTAGGTTAGGCACATACACACACAAACAAAACCCACCTTTATGTTACTTCACTAGAAATGCACAACTGAACTTTTCTACAGATTTATTTTTGTAATGTATATTGTATAGGGACAGGTATAAACCATGAGACTAGAATATAAATTTGTTTATTGTTTATTGTTCAGTCTTGTGGAAATTCATCTTTGGCTTCAGGGCAAGGCAAATGGTGTAATACAAATGGATATAAAACAAAGGGACATGACAAGCACATACACTCGAAAACGTCCCCTACCATGGGTTAGAACAGTGGTTCCCAACCTGGGGGAGCTTCACAGGGAGTCGCAAAGCACTCTTGATTTTAAGGGGTGTAACACAGTAGGCCTACTAATTTTTCAAATGTTTTCAGAAACATATTTTAGTGTGAAGTTTAGCTGCAATATGTAAAAGTTTATTGGCAGGCTGCCATGTTAAAAATGGCAGATCCAAAACCAAGCAACTCACAGTTTTGTCAGCCACCAGTGTTCAGCGGAGCGTTCAGTGGTCCAGTGCGTTCAGATACATCCTCTGTTTGTCTGCATCATTACATCACTAAAGTCATGTAACATACTTGTTTGTCTTTCTTCTTTATGATGCGGGTGGTGTGACAAAGCAGTGTCTGTATTTGACGACCTGGGATGAGGACTTGCTGGTATGTGATGACCGTTCCGCCAGCCACACGTACCTATTTTGTAGGGCTGATGTGAATGCTTCGAAGTTCCAACTGTTGCTATGGTAATCAACATCTAAATCAATATTTGGATGCTTCTTCTTTTGTTTTTGTTCTGGTTGACTCCTGCAGTGTTTCCCAAATAGACTTTACTTGGGCGTGCCATCCAGGTATACAGCATATTGCAGAGACACGCAGAAAAGGGACAGACGTTATCTGGCATCATGTTAGAAAACACGGACAGATGGAGAGAGAGAAACAAAAAAAGGTTAGGCATAGCGAGCTGGTGTCTGTCCAGATCCAGAGAAAAAGAGAGAGACAGAGTTGTGTGTGTGTGTGTGTGTGTTTTTTCAAGATAACGTGGTTGTGTCAAAATTCTATTAAAGCATGCATGGTCTTTTAAACACTCCTTTTCCATGTTATAATCTGCAAAGAAATCCGATTCAACCAAAAATTAATTCAATCTTAAACCCAGTTCAGACCAAAGATTCATGGCGAGACGAGACAGTTTTAGAGTGTTATTGAAAAGTTGCAGTGCTGTAAACTGGTTGTCTCAGCCCAACTCAAGCTGGCAATGCCTTTACTGTAATTACATGGTTTTCCACAATGCTACATTATCTGTCCTCTTCCTGGAGGCTTGGCTCGAATGGAGGTTCAGAGGGTATCTCTTCTAGTTGCATTGGTGTGAACTGGCAGGGTATCTGAATAGAAGTTTCTACTTGTCTTGTTGTGAATCTTGGTCTGAACAGGGCATTGCAGGTCCAGTGTGTAGAATTTAGTGGTGTCTAGCAGTGTAGTTACAGATTGCAACTCCCTCACTTCACCCTTCCAAGCACGAAGAAACTACAGTGGTAACGCAGAGACTGGACCTTTAACCTGCGTCAATATTTGCATATAAACAATAGATCAAATAGCCTGACTGCATTTTATATGAATGGGGTCACTCATAGTGACAGATTGAGAGAGAATTAGCTAAATCTCTTCATCTACAGAACATTTTAGCATTTTTCAGCTCATTGTTGGCAAACAATACGTTTTCATTGAGTTTCACCATTCTCATCAATGTTGTTTTATAAAAAAGCTCTAAAAACTAATTTGACCCTACCTGCCAAACAGCATACTGGTGGAGTATTTATTAGCTAAACAGCCAGTCGATTTTGAGTGGAGTTAGAATTTGAGTAAACATTGGACATTTCTCAGGTGGACAAAAACAGGACCCCAAATAAATGCTAATGTTACTCCATGTCTGTTCTGTTAAGCCACTGTTTGCTAACAAGTTATCAATATATTTGTCAGGTGATAACGTCAGTGTTGTGTATACAGCTTGTTGCTACCCTAAGTGACCAAAAAAATCTATGAATACAGTGTGAATGTAAAAACACTCTAAAATAGTTTGATTAATAACAAATCCGATTTTAGAAGCTGATCATGCTTTACATGTAAAAACTTTTTTTCTGCAAAGTAACTTGAGTGAGTTAGTGTAACTGCCACGTAAGTGCATTGTATTAAATATTTAAGGAGCATACACAGCTAATTGTCTTTAGGAATTACATGTAAGAACTATTCTTTCTTTCTTTGCTTCTCTCTTACTGCCTCACCCTATCATGGAGATCTCTCCTATCACCTCATAACTCACTCAAAAGCAGACCAATCAATCACACTGTATTTGAGTTAACATATTTATGAGTCATCTGTGTTGAAATCTGAGGCTCATCCCCTGTGTAAATACCTTCTCCTTTGTAAATGGAGAGATTAATCTGACCAGCTCTCCAGTCATATGAGAATGGAACCTAAGCTGCTGTGAATCACAGTTATCTAAGAATATGGGGCAGAGAGGCTGTTAATGCCACCCTTGGCCTCCTGTCTTTAACTGATGAGATGGCTCATTGCCATGCACACATGCACACAAATGAAAAGACACAAACTGACTCACACAAATGCATACACCATTTATAAAGAAACACACATCACACACACTAACATAATCTCACACAGACTCACATTTCCTCCATCACATTTAGCTGCAATAGTGACTGACGGCGCACACATGTCAGTGCTGACATTCTTTATCCCTTCTCTTAGATGTGTGTGCACCTTATGTTCTGCAATGGCTTAGTGTTTGTGCGCAGGCTATGTGTGTGTATTTATACTATTTCCTTTCTGAGATTATGCATATGTGTGTATTCATACGTATGCATGTGCCCGTGTCTATCACTGTCTTTGTCTCCATGCCTGTCTCTAGCTCCTCGCCCTTCGGATCCACCAGCCGTATTAACATTAGCCTCTCCGTATGCTGTGGGGATGGGACAGGTCTTAG